TATGTTAGAACAATGCTGTATATAAATCTAATATATATCCAAAGTCACGCTTTTAAGACATGAAAAACGCAAGTTAAATTTTATCAATGGGTCCACTAGAAAGACAGATATAAAACTGTTCCACGTTTTTTCATGTATTGTCTATATTCACGGAAACATTCTCCGAAACATGAGTGTGCAAAGTATTGCTTCTTCGACATAAGTTAGAAACTAAAAGATGTGTTAATGAATTTGCAATTATTTTGAAATCACAATTTACATGCAATTACCATTTTTGTTTTACACATAAAGCTGATAAAAGATGAAAGTTTAAGAAATTCTTATAAAAGATAGCAGTTAAGAAAAATAATATAAACAATACCTTGATTTACATATATGTAAATGTATTTATATTTTTATACTGCATTTTTCATTTTAACCTTTTCTTTACATTTTATTATTATTATTATTTTTACTATTACTCTTTCTTTACTTACCTAATATAATTTGGTCACTGAGATGCATAAAAAAAAATTTAAATTGACTGGTGCACAGGTTTTTCTTCAACAAAGCAACTTTTCGACTTTTTCCCTCATGAATATCCTTTATTTTCAGTATAACGAGGACGTGATTAAATTTTAATCCTTGAGTTAAACCCAAAAAAAAAAAAAAAAAAAAAAAATATGGTTGCAACGCATAATTTCACATTTAGAGGTTTGAATCATCCGAAATGCTGAGGAGTATTCAGGATGTTTCCAGTGATGCTAAAGAGAATTACTGGATTACTTACGATAATTGGATGCACATATTTATGCAATTAGAGCATGGCTTTCTCCTCTCTGGCTACTTACTTGTATGTGCTATCCTATCTCTCACCATTTATATACCATACTGTGTTTGGGTTTCATTAATACCCATCAAATGTTAAGGCTTAGCTGTTGATAATAATTACCGATATTTGCCAAATGATTACAGAATAACAATGTTACGTAATATTGCTGATTAATTATGGGCTATCCCGTATTTAAGGACTCAATATAAGCAACGTGTACAATGCAATATCGTAAAAAGAGCAAATTTGTTTTTAAACTTTAAATATTTCACGTAACTCTGTAAGTTATATTAACTAGCATAATATCTTGATAAATTTTATTTGCAGTTCTATATATCTAAATATATTTAATAATATCTGTAAATCTCTTGATGATTAGAAGATAGCTCTGTAGACACATAAAATGTATAACGGAGAAGAAAAACTTTAAAACATAGCCGTATATATTCATTCCATAATAAAACAAGGTTTGATAAACACAATCAAGCTCACACACCATCATTATGGGTACGATACATAACCCACAATTTTATATAGTCTACTGAATCTTTAGACAATGGACGAGACAACGGAAAAATGAGTAGTAGCACATTTTAACATGAGTTCTAAAATTAGGAAATTGTTTATATTACTTTTTTCTGGACTGTACCTTTCCAAATTAATCTGCATCATGCTTTCTTATATAAAGGTAGCGCAGATGGGATATTTTCTAAGGAATCACATTAAAGAACCTTTTAACTATTTTCCTGAATGCGCTCTTTCCTCCCTTTTTCTGTCTGCATCTGCTCTTGTTAAGTTGTGGTGATCAAACTCTCCATTTTCTTGTAGAGACATTAGGATAGTTTGGAAGCAGAAGACATAAAAAATGAGCAATGCACTCGCCGGGACTCGAACCACTGACCTCTCGAATACGCGCCGAGTGTGCTGACTACTACACCACGAAAGCATGCTAAGACGGCGAGAGAAATAGACCTTATAGTCTAAAGTTGTCTCATCCGTTCTCTAAAGATGTAATAAGTTATATAAAATTGTGGGATGCATATCTTGCCCATATTTATGACATGTGAACCTGATTATGCTTATCAAGGCTTGCTTTAAGATAAAATATCAAAGTATGTTGTTAAGCTATGTTGAGTCTACGATCACTTTTGTCTACAAGTTCATTTTTCCATCCACGCACTGAAACGTAAGTAATAACGAACGCAGATAAACACTTTATCTTTAACAGCTATCTCTCCAAACAAATTATTACATATATTAAAGCTTGCCAACGTTTCATGTATTTGAAGACATGCAATAAAGCCCATTTTAGTTCAAATTAGTATGGAAATTTCATGAAAAGAATCATGCAGGTTTTATAATGTTAAAGGTATGTAGAAAACTGTTTTAAATGGGCTGTATTACGAGACAGAGGATGCTTAATATGTTTTATACAAAGTGTATATACAAGTGGAATTCAGAATACTTCAAATGTTTTAACCTAATCGCTATAAACTTAATGTACTAGGTAACGTAATATACTATTTATTTCAATGCTTCGATAATAACTATATTTCTCAAGAAAAGGTTCTTCTTTAAATAAGTTCGTAGCTTCCCCCTACCGATATGTACCGTTATTTTTCTTTGTTGTTTGCTAGTGTTATATTTCTCATCAGGTCCATGAACTTGTGCGACTAATACCCCTATCAGAAAGGTACAAATATCTCTAATACGATTGCTTGCACTGAAACTACTATGTAATGACATGGATTATGTTCGTAACCAACCATAAGTCTCACAATTAATGCAATAACAATGCATAAATTTTCAATCCCTATCTCTTGCAGCAAGGCAGTTTGCCAAGAATAGCCAGCAAAAGGATATTGTATATGGTTTTCAATATTCGACATTGAATGATTCATGAAGTAACCAAGTGGTCTACAGCTAAATGACTGGATATCACTCTAAGGATTAAATATTAAGGAATAGAACAGATTCATAAAACCATCAGAGATTTTTAAAAATAATTAGATCTTTATAATGATGAAGTATATATAATTAATGAAAATTATGAACACAGTTTTGTTTCCAATGCTGATTTTGTTGCAATATAATTAATGACAGGTAATCTTAGATCGGGAAATACAAGAAAAGTACTTTGGTTCTTGGAGGATGATTTCCCAAACTTAATGTAAATAAACTTAATATTTGAATTAAAATTCTTTCATCTAAATTTCAAGATTTCTTGTAAGACGTTGCTGTTTTTACCTCTTTTATTACGTCTTTGAATAAGAAGCTAAAATATTTAAGAACTATTCTCAACGAATGTTCGATTACAATTTCCAGTAAATAGAAACTAGGATCCGATTTTGCAGATACTAAAATTAATGAATTGCTCTCTAGTATTTAAGGTTTATTTTTAAGACAGATACAGTTTATTTTCCATATTAGCTGAGTTAAAAAGGAAAGAGTGATATCATATAACCTTCTCAGTACTCTTTTTATAGGAATATGTACAGACATTTTGAGCGATACGTGTTTAAAACTTTAACTTTCTCTTGCTCAATTAGATTCCACTTATTAGCTTAGTTCGGATAATTTCTGGAAACATTAAGAAACTAGAACAGGTTTAGTTTTTTCCCGGAGACAAGAGGTGCTTTCGAATCAACCGGTTCGGTATTCTCAACCTTATGTCATAAGAGCATGCGAAGAACAAGCCTTTGAAATCCTTATGAATGATTTTTTTTTTCTTGATATTTAAATTTCAAAAAAATATGCCCATCAAATAATTTCTTTACCGACTAACAGCTAATATTGTTATAATTCTGATTTGTAAATGAATAGATAATTCAAGATTCACGTTTTATTTCTATCTACAGGAAATTTTTATATTCTTTATATCTCGTATATCATTTTGTAACATTAAGTTGGGAAATTAATACATCAACACAAACGAAATCAATGAAAAATTCTTAAAATAAATTGCAGACATCTAATAACAATTATATTACCATATACAGGAAAACAAACATTATTTTGTTGTTTCGTGCATGCAGGTTCGTAATAGATTGAATGCACAAGTTCTATAATAGGTTAATAAAATGTATTTTTATCAAAAGAATATTTCTGAACTCTGGAATTTTCCACAGAAGTATTCGTACAAGTGTTCACAGTATCACACAGTATAATCAGTAGTTATACCTCAAACTAATAAGATGTTAAACACAAGGCAATGCAGAGCGCATCTAAAGAGCAAGCTAACTTGGATTTATCTCAGTTCACGCGGAACTACAACTCGCAACAACAAAATCAAAGCAACTGAGAGCAGATGCTCTCTCTTTGGCCTTAAATAATTTTCAACTGGCCACCGAGAAATCTCTAGTACTTTTTGCCTCTCGAAATTACTGGAACGCAATACGAGGGTGGAATGACGGTTACAGCAAACATGGTTTTCAATTACATTTATCCAATTTCAATACATATTGCGGTGATACAGGGTTCGGACCAAAATGGTCACCAAATGTGGCGACATTTGAAGATTTCTCGCCAAATTTGGCGAATAAATAAGTAGCCAAAATCGTTACCAGATTGGCGATATATCGCAAAGCTTTCTCTTAAAATTTGTTTCTCTTAAAATCTATTCTTAAAATTTTATTTACACAGAAAAATACAACAATTTTACTTATAATTCTACTAAAATTATCTATTTAAGTACAAAATTCGTAACAATATGACATGCTGTCATGATTTTCGATCTAAAACAAACTGACTTTTCTACACTTAAACTATTCATTTATTCATCTGTGTTATTTTATCTCCTTAGAAAGCGCAGTTATACCAACAATCGTAAATTCTGCTAAGAGAAGTGAACAATAACGTACATATTTCTGCATTTAGTTTTAGTTATGATACTCAAGATTAAGCTTTCCCATTTTAGCTGCCCATGTTTGAGTTTCCTACATGGGAGTTCTAAAAAAGTTAAAAAAGTTATAAAAAGTAGGGCATAAAAAAGTTACAATACGAAATTTTATGAGTTATTTCTTTATTTTCACATGAACAGAAAAATAGGTAATTTTGCCTGAAGATATAGTGTTGTGAGGTGTTTTTCTATTTGAACCAATGGGATATTTCTATTCTGTAAACTTATAAACATTAAAAAATGCTTCTGTATATAATTCTACATGTAGTTTCTTCCCTGCTACATTTGAAGGACTTTTCAACTATGGACATATGGCATATGAAGTGGATCGTGATTCTGGACCTGACGGGGAACCATCTCTAGCGGAAATGACACGGAAATCCATTGAAATACTTCGAAAAAATCCCAGAGGCTATTTCCTTATGGTGGAGGGTAAGTTGAAATACAAATTCACTATCAAACTGCGAGTCAAAAAGAACTTTTATGTTTACAATATGATTGTTGTGACATTCTCTTGGAATTGATGTAATGTTAACCCAATATTTTAAACAGACAGCTGAATTAGAGCATTTATCCTAATTTTATCAGTTTCATTTCGTATAAAGTTTATTAAAATTGTCAATGTGTTATTCTATTGGGTTATAATGATACAAAAAATTAGAATCTGATTAATTGAAATTTTTCTAATTCTTTGCTAAGAATATGTATTTTGTAAGTGTAAGTAATATTTAATATAACGAATGTTCCAATTCAGTACAGTTTTTAAATTTTTCTATAAGTTAATATAATTCCTCTTTATAAATATTGTGCATGTAAAATTATCTTAACTTTTAATGTCTTTTAAATTTTATACCACTGTTTCAAGTTATAAAGATATTTTGCCCCTAAAAAAGTGATATTACAACTCAAAATAAAAATGCTTAGTAAATCTATAATATTAGAAAAACGCATCCCGCCTCTTCACTTATACATCAGAGTTATTCAAAAAACATGGAATTTCTGAAAACATTTTATTTCTCCGAATTTTTAATGTATAATGTAGCAGCACCAAAAAGTATAAAACTGCTGAGTTATACTTCCTAAAGAAATTGTGTGTAAACTTTCAACAACCTTGTTGTGAAATCTTTCAACAAAAACTATGTTATTAAATGGCGCACCATCGAAAAGGATCCCAAAGTATTTTATAACAGATACTGAATTCTGCTATCATTAAACGACCTAAGGACGCGAATCGCATTTCAAAGAAACGTTTTCCTTGCATAAATAGGATGAATGGTAAAGTTCTACCAGCAGCTTTAAGGAAAATGTTACATTAAGAGATATATTTTGCAGCGAAATTTTCGTCGTAAAATATCAATAATACTTTACATCGCTGAGGAAGACATTCATTTGAAAACTCTGTGTCTCGAAAGTCTGTGCCATTTATTTATGGGATGTCTTCCTTGATACTTCTGGAAGAAATGGGTCTTTCGAGAGGTTTCTTATTACCTGATAAGGAAGAGCATGTGTGGAAAGCATGCTGTATTGCGGGAAAAGCAGATAAGATGTGCTGACGGCAGAAGCAGCATTTGTGTAAGAATGCATCAACAGTATGTGCCAATGCATGTCTACTGATGATCTTGTTGCTGAATAGTTCAAATTCTTATGAATATGCTGGCTTTGTGAGCATTTGTATTGCTTTTATGCATCACTTGATATAAGAGAGTACAGAATAACTATTCTCATTCAGTACTACGAGAAAGAGCAATTTGCTTGGAAAGTCCTCCAAGATAGCATTCCTTTCTTTAAGCAGGCAGCCTTATTAGACTTTGCCATACTTCGTGCCCTCACATGATGTTGTTTTATCTCTTGCCGGTAACATTATAGTTCATGTTGTATGACATGAGTACATCGGTGACTTCAGAGGCTCTCATAATAAAAGGTCACAGAATTTCCGGAAGTCAATGGGATCATTCGTCCTTATAAAGATAGCTTATTACTTTTCTTCTGGGTTACTAAAAGCCTTATTTCATAATAGACTAACATCATACTAAATTTTGACAATGACAGTTCAGATATGAAGTTATATATTCAGGATTCCATTATACAACAAACTCTGACCGACAGAGAAACCTACAATTAAAGTTTTCCATATTAAAATTTCATACACAAAATCTCGTACATTGCATCCTTTGTATGATTATTGTGCTACCATATATTGCAAATTCGCTGATAACACAAATATGTCTTTTATTTGCCGATTTTAGATCGCCATGTATATATAAACGTCACAAAATTAAAATATCGAATATTAAATAGTGTACAAAATATAATATTATAAATCTCACTATTTCATTAAGCTCTATTAATGTTAAAGCTTTTAAAACAAAGTTAGCGAATTTTATTCATTAGTAATTTATTTGGGTCTAACATTGAGCATATTTTCAAGTTCTGCTCTGGGTATGTTTTTTCTTTGATTCTGTAATTGAAATGTTAATTATTAATACGCACCGCTTCTTAATATCCATATCAGTCGTTTAAATGTCACTTCTAACTTCTAAACTTATATCATTGATACATTTACCGCTGATTTATAAGTGTTTAAACTAAAACTATTATTCTTCTTTTAACTCCAGCTTGCAGTTTACTAAAAACTTCAAAACTTCACATACATACCATATATAAGTAGGATTGTGTCCTTTGATAGAGAAAATAGTATACAATAAATTTATTACTTAAGATCAAGAGGGCAAGGGAATCAAACGTCTGAGCTAATCATAGGTCAGACAGCTAATCTTGAATATGACCTTCTGTCATGGACAATGACACGCACAGCGACGAGTAATGCTGATTACAAGGCTCATGATAAGCTCTGAAGGCAATAATTCCATTTCAGTACGGAGACAGACCTTAGTTTATGGAGGACAAGAGTAAGGGACTAACGAACTGCAATAAATTTCCCTAGAGCATCTCCAAGCATAATCCATCGATCTCGGATCTAAGATATTGCTGGAGCAATCAGACTTTCGAATATTCTGTCCGAAGTTAATTGTTGACAGACTGACCTCAGCAAAATCAAGTTTATATTTCATAAAAGAAAAGGGGAGGTCAATTGTTGTGACTTTTACAAACATATAAGTTGCTATTTAATTATTGATCTAACGAATGGTTAGAATATTTAGTTGGTAGTGGTTAATTAAATATGAAGACTTTGTTAGCAGTTTCAAAACAAAACGACAGGCAAAGTGATAAAATATAAGTATAATTGTTTTTACAAAATTAAAAAACCTTTCTATGATTTACAAACCGAAGCAATATAAACAGAATTTCTTCCGGCTGCGTACCAATAAAATACAGTGAGATTTCTTGAATTGCTGGAGCATATAATGCCTGGAAATATCACAAATGTTTCCAACTATTATACACAATAAATGGAACAGCTTTTTTATGACTCTAGCTTCGAACAAGCAAAATATTTGAACGTGCATATCTGCGACAAAACTGAATTAAAAGAGATCTATTTAATTGCTTGGTTTCAGTTAAGCTAAGGTTTTCGTACCTGGAGAGAATGCTAGTAGATTCTAATGTAAGAGAGAACAGATGAACGAGGCCAAAAATAATTAACAATTTAAACTATATGTTCTAATATTAGGAAACTGATCAGCATTTCATTATATCATTGCACTGTTTCGAATGAAGAAATACAATTTAATGAGCTTTTTACACACTTACTGAGTTATTCAATAATTTTAGTGTATTTCAGTCTAAATATTAGAATAAAAGAAAAACGTTTAAAAGAAATTACATCTCGATGTTTCATTAGTATTAGTCTTAAGTAAGTAATATCTTAATTAGTAAATGATATATTAAGTTTTTTTTTTTAAATTACTGCCGCATAATTCTGATACCACGTTTTGCTTGAATACTCATACTTCTGATGGTTACATTATATTCAGTCTTTAGAGATAAGAAGTAATCGACGAATCGTGAAGTAAGTAAGATTGTTCATAAAATTAGAAATTAGCGCTCAGTGCTACTAAATTTAATTATAAAAGACAAGATGAGCATCCAACCTATCCGCAAGAAGACATGAATTCCACCAAGTGTTTTTGCAATATATTATAACTGTAGGGTAAAAAACAAAAATAATAAAACTAAAAGTGAACCTAATGAGTAAAGTATAAAACGAAAATGTAAGAAATCACAAATGCATGGGTTAATCTCCCTTGTTTGGAGCTTCATTACAGAACTTGTCAAGAGAAAACTGTTTTGAAGCTCCATACCAGGTTGATCAACTACATAGCTAAAATAAGTTTCGTTCCGACTAATTCACTGAGACTTATAAGCGTAGAACGTAATCAAAACATCAAATAATTAGTAGAATTAAAAGTATCATTGATTTGTCCCTTTTCCCTACCTGTTTTAGCTGTCTAACACAGAAAAATAAATTGTGAAAGATTTTTTTTTAAAAAACAAGTTATACAAGTTTTTTAACATACATTTATTAGGTTATTTTGAAACAGGAAAATGAAAAATTTGCAATGCCCTCGTGGTAACTCGAACTCTGGACCTCTCGAATATTCACTGAATATGCTTGCAATGACACCACGAAGGCATGCGGAAAGAATGGAGAAAATACCCCAAGGCTCTACTTAGAGCCATTAGATTAATTTGGAGGAGACGTACGTGAAGTATGCGCAGTGTTCCCGCTGGCACTCGAAACTTTGACCACTCGAATACGCGTCGAGTATGCTGCCAATTACTACGAAAGCATGCGGAAAGAAGGGAGAAAATGCCGTATAGTATCTCAAATGTAAATCCAGATATCGCATATTTCTGTACATGTTTCAGTGAATCGAATGATATTACATATTTAGTTATGTCATATGAGAAAAATGATGTGATTAAAAACATTTTTAACTTTGCATTATTAACTATAATAAAGTCTTGACTTTTCTTCTTTTTATTTTAATTGCGTCACATTATTTGAATCTTAAGAAAATGCAAATTGGGAAGTCATTTTCCTATTACGCCTATAACATGTAAAGGCAGCTGGGATTCTTGTTGGAAATACTTCTTAATTTCACATTTAGTCCTCTTACGTATGTTAACTCATTCGTTATTTGTTAACAATACACCAATTCCGGTATATATTAGAATTTTTACATAGTTTAAATATCATTTTGGTATGATGTAAATGTTCTTAATATTGGATAATATGATTAATGATATTATTATTCATTAAATAAAATATTCCATTTAATGTAGATTTTATGTTACCATTGGTATACCTCAGTATAACTATTATAACTTTTGCATACACATTGCTGCTTTAAAGTACTTGTAGTTTAATGTTTTAATTTATTTTAAAGCAAGCAAAACTACTTAAAACCTCTACCTGAACTATAAGCATTTATTGCCTCAGAAATTAGGATATTACAACGCGCCTGCAGGTTAGCATCATTTTAAGAATCTTCGAAAATCTTGGTGGTAAAAGGGATGCGAATCACTCTTAATATTAAATTTACTGTTAATAATTTAGATCATTATGACGATTTCAATAGTTACATATTTTATCACACTCTTAAAACAATAGCATTTACAAGTGAGTTATTATTTTCGTGTCGAATATCATTAGTACTTTTTTTCTACATTTCCCTGAACATATTTATTTTTTAAGGTTGTTTTCAATAGCGAACTTAGCATTCTTGCATACCAAGGAAAATGCATTTAAAATACTAGGCATATATTTAATTAACTGAATAAAATATCGAAAATTAATAAGTTTTTCCCCATATTATTTTATAGTTTCTTTATTTGCAAGATCTGAAATTCTAATATTGATCTCAATTTTATTTAACCCATTTATGTTCAGTTTTATTCCTTTGAGTGCATCGACTGATGTAGCGGATTTCCAATTTAAGGATTATTTAAACTAGAAAGTTTCAAGAAATAATTCACAAAAGTTTTTCTTTTTTCTTTTTTTTTTTTTTTTTACTTACAATATAACATAGATACTTGGATACGAAGCACAGTAGGGAGCAAATAAACTCCTATCAATGAAAAACTTATGATCATAGAAATACTGAGAGAAGACTACACTGCATAACAGCACACATACCACGGATAACCACTTTGCTACTAAAATTAATCATTTATTGAAAAAGAGGCTCCGAAGCCGTCGGTGGTTCTTCACTCATCAAGCATCGTAAGCCAAACATTCGTTTCGTTGATAGAAGCGATGGCAGCGCCATCTCACTTCAAAGGGATTTAACTATTAAGGGGCATACTGTAATTTTATACGTATTTAATGTGCGAAATGGCATTTCCGCGGTTCTTCATTTTCCTTGTTTATTTTGCACGTTTATATTTAAAATTAATTTCAATTTGAAATTTTCTCTACTTCCTTAAATACTGATGAACAAAACATTATTCTTCATACATGTTAGAATTAACTTTAAAGAAATAATGTGCATGAAAGCTTAATAATTTATTCTATGTGCTCTAGAGCTGCATATATATTTTCAACAACTGCATTCAGGTTATAATTTTAGTTGTTCTACGTTTTTATGCATAGTGCTGTTACTATTTTATATTTTGTACAGAAAAAGTGAAAAGTGGAGTTTTATTTTACCTATTTTTTTATTTTTTCCCGCTCTATATTTATGAATTGTGCTGTCAGAGGATTTTGTTAAATTTTATGAAACCATAGGCATTGAAATAACTCTTTTATAAAGCACATTAATTTTTAACATTAATTTGTATTAATATGTATAAAAATTACAGCCTTTATTACATACTTTTCTTCTTGACAAGTGTTTTTCTGCCCTTGGTTCTATTAAATAAATCAGTACCAAGAGGAAGGTTAGACCCCGTCTTACGCACTTTTCCTAAAACCCCCTCCCCACAGCATAACTCCGCATTGTTATAGTATATTTAGAGAGCATAAAGTTTGTATCGAAACACAAATAATTAATTCATAATTTCATCATTTCAAACTACGAAATGCATACTAAGACTACATTACTGTATTGTGTGCAATAGCACTTTATGGTGTTATGAAATTAGAATATTAGACAATGTCGAACCGATTCAACAAAATTAAAATGTCGCAATCTAAGATAAAACAAACGATACAGCAAGAAGAAATTTTCTGATCTTAAAGACATTTCTTGAACGAAAAACCTTTCGATTCATCATTTAAATGATCCAATTTGAATGTCAATGAATGACCAAACTTTAAAATGCAAGTAATTAAATTTCGTTTCTAATTAATAAATATCCCTGGAGCTGACGTCGCCGAGAAAAACAACGCAAAGCAAAAACGTCGTGATGCAAAACATCGTGGAAGAAAAGAAAGCAAAGTGATAACATCGCAGTTCTAAAACATCGTGGTATAGAATATCGTCGTCGAAAACCAAGCGGTTCAAAACTTCGCAGTTTAAAAACATCGCCCTCGAAAATATCGTGGTAAAAAATAAAGCACCTACAAATTATCGCACGCTTGCGTTTGTTAGGTTTTAAAAGTAAACAAAACAAGATATAATTTTCGCCAAATCAGTATTAGATTAACAAACGTGAAAGAAAAGTAAGTTAATTAACTAAGCAATTTTTATAGAGGTAATCTTATACAGTTATTTATCTTCCTTTTTCAGGCTATATTTTTCATGAAACATTATGAGTAAACTTTATAAAAATGATTAATTTATTAATGACCTTTGTTAATTAACTATGTAAATTTAAAATTCTATTAAGTGCTATAAGTTGCATTAATTGTCTACTCATTTTCAATTTTTAAATGCTTAAGATTCCTTCTTACTTTTTCAGTAAAATTTTATTAGTTTATTTTAAAATAGGAAATATAAAAGTAAAAATATCCCTCTTTCCTTCTTGCACTCCCAAATCATTACGCGAAAATGCATTTACATCTTTTAAAAGCTGAAAAACGCATGTGTGCGATATTATCGTCATGAGATGATTTGTAGGTACCTTTTTTTACTATGATATTTTCGATGGCGATGTTTTTAAAGTGCAAAGTTTTTGAGCCGCTTTATTTTCGATGACGATACATCATACTGCGATGTTTTAGAACTGCGACATTTTCTCTTTGATTTCTTTTCTCCCACGAAGTTTTGTATCACAACGTTTTCGTCTTGCGTTGTTTCTTACGCGACTTTTTCGTCTGCGATGTTTTTGCCATGATGTTTTTGGCGGACACCCGCAGCGGTTAGCTGAGCAATTTTATGGTGTATAAAAGAGAAAAAATTCAGTTCTAGAGCATAATTTGGTTTCTATGATTTTCTCTCTTTGCTCACTTTGACTGTGTCAGTAACTGGCAAACGGTTTCGCACTTGTAATGAACATATGTCAAGCTGAATGATCATATCGAAGAACTACTTGATAGGTGGGTAGCAGTTTTGGTATCTGTCGAAGAATTTTTGAGCCATGGCAGATCACAACGTCAAGAAAACAGCTGTTGATCTAGGAAATCCCCTGGCTTACATTTCGGCAATTACTGTATTCTCGCTTTTAAAAGCCAAGCCCTTAATTTTAACTCTTTTTTTAATTCTCGTTTTCAAAATGTAGTAAATTCTAATGTAATACATTTATAGTAAATTACAACCATTCGCGAACATAAGCCGCACATAAATCGACCTTTTATTAAAATGCATAGTAAACAGCAAACGTAGCAATGTGAATGTTAGTGATTCAAAATAAATTCAGTCATCATTATAGCATATAAGAGAAATCTTTACTGATAATATAGCTGACATTCTTGCTTTTAATTTCGAGTTTTGGAAATAAAATAATATTCTAAGTAGTGGGAATTTAAATCATGTAAAGAAAAAAAAAGTTTCTCAATTATGTATATTAGGGAAAATATTTACGTCTCAAATTTAGAGTCCAACTTTCGACGAAGTTTGAAATATTGCACACTCGAGCAAATATTTAAATTTGAAATGAATTCATCTTAAGGAGAAAATGTTTTCATTTTAGTAGTTCTTTACAAATACGTTGAATAGAGCGAAATAAATTCAACTATCTTCAGATGTTATTGATATTTCAGTTCAAAGATAGACAAACACAGCACTATCACTATTATTCAATATTTACTTCGTTATATCAGATTGTTTTGTAATGCAGCTTTGAGTTTAATTACAACACCAAATTCTCGCTGGAATGGCAACTTAAAACATCTGTTATAAGCATACATTCGAATTCTTTTAGTTACTGTTATTCCCATTAGGATAACAATCCTGGTTTTTTGAGTTATAACCAAAAAAAAAAAAAAAAAAAAAAAAAAAAAAAGGCAAACTGAAACATAAAATTAGCAAAACAACAACTTTATGTTTGGCGTAGATTTAGTCAATTGCTCAATCGATTTCGAAGCCAAACAGGTACATATCCCTCCTCATCAAGAGCGAAAAACTCTACAAAGCTGAAAATCAAGCTAGCGCAACGGTCGTAAATATAACTAAAGGCAGTACAGCTAACAAGAGGGTAGTGCTAACTGTCGGAAAAAGTAGTAACGAAATTAAGTTGATAAAATTTTAAAAGCTTTAGGAAAGACTGGATTGGACTTAAAGAAATTAACTAAACAGGGTAAATCTTTGTGAATGTGAAAAGCTTCAAGAAAATACAATTCGCCAATTGAAGAAGCTTCTTGAATAATGTTTGCAGACCCAAAATCAAAATTATGTTTAAATTTTCACATCGTGTTAGTATGATTTGAGATCTATCGGCCAAAATAAAACAGCATTAAAGTTTCGCATCAAGGAAGGGGAATCTTATATCCTAAAAGGAGAAATTAACAAGTCTTCGATAGCTAATCATGCTGAAAATTTAAGCATAATTTTGACTTGGGATCTGCAAAAATTATTCAAGGAGCTTCTTCAGTTAGTTGGTGAACTGGATTTCCTTGAAGTTATTCACATTCACAAACATTTGTTTTGTTTAGTTAATAAATTTAAGTCCAATCCAGTCCTTCTTAACGCTTTTAACATTCTATTAACTTAATTTTCAATTTCATTACTATTTTTGCCAACAGGTACCGTTACCGTTACCTTCTTGTTCGCTTTACTGCCGTAGAGTATAAGCGCCTGATTCTTTCCAGTCTTGCAGATTTCTTTGTTCATGAGGAAGAGAGACCTGTGTATGTAATAATTTATATTAAGTGTTTGTTATTCATGTAAGTATGCGGCATTTCTCTTGCACATTTTAATTTATTTCATCAGTTACTGGTAGTTTTTTTTTAAATGCAGGTGGACGAATCGATCATTCGCATCATTTCAACAATGCACATCGTGCTCTGACTGACACACTTGCGCTCGAAGACGCAGTCAGTGTCGCTTTAGAAATGACATCTTCGGATGATACCCTCATTATAGTTACGTCTGATCACTCTCATGTATTTGCTTTCGGAGGAAATCCAAAAAGAGGAAATCCAATACTTGGTAAGTATATGTAACTTAATTTACATAATTAATTTGTTAATTCATCGTTAAATCATGCCTGTAAACATCGTAGAACTTCAAAATCCTGTACTCGTCCTTCACCGATTTGTAAACGGTCATTACAAAATAATGTTAGAAATATATCGCAAAACTACCGCTTTGCTTAGCTGTTATTATAGCATACAAGCATTGACTGACTCATCTAGGCTAAAAGAAGAATGCTTTGTTCTACGAGTAACGTCATCAGACGATATTTTCATTGAAGTCACGTTTGATCACTGCTTCGTTTTCTTCTTTCGAGGAAACCTAACTGATGAAGTTCCCATATTATTTGAGTGATGTGATCGTCTTTATTATCATTTCATGCCGAAAGAAGATACAGGGACATTGGATGATTAATGATCGATCATATACGAATAAAATAATCACGCGACAAAAACTTGTTTCATATTTTTATCAAATAAAATGTAACTACTCTTATGAAATCAAAACATAGTCTGTCAGAAAGAAACAGAAACACATTAGCGTCAAAGATAATACAGCAATAAGAGAGAAGCACAATAATGCTACTGAAAAGCAACATTTCAGGGAAAATATAGTTTTAATAAAACTGAAGTGACTAGTAAATCATTACAAAATATTAGAAAGAGTCTTTTTAAATTGTACGTTTTTAATCAAGTTTACTAAACTGTAACAGGATTCTAAGGATGTTCTTCAAATCTCAAACAACGCAGCTAACACTTTTTTGGATATTCTTCAACGAAGTTTTGATTTCGACCTTGGAAAAGAAAATTAATTAATGAAATCTTACAGTCTGAAGTAAAAATTAACTACACTGTTTCAGCTATCTAATAAATTCTTAATATTTGGAACTTTTGAGAAAAAAGTGATGAGCACATTGAAATATTGAATATACAGTAATTAAAATAACATAAATTTCAGTATTTGCAACATACATTTAAATTTTATTATCAAGTCATCTGGATAATAGGTTGCTATGATATATTACATCAGATTCGTTGTTCCTGAACAATTTATATTTCATTTCCATCTGGTGTTTGATGATTATTATGTCACTTTTGAGATTGAATCCAGCAATAAATTCACATTCAAGTTCGCTGTGAGAAGTAAATGATTTATTTTACAAAAATAAAAATTATTTCATTTTCGTCTAAACTTTGTTTTGGGAATTACAGCAACATTTATGCGCCTCTTAGAAATCCATTAAATCAGTTAGTATCAAGAAACAAATAATTAGCATCTATCAGGCAGCCAAAAAAAATGCGAGGCACGAAGTTTTTCTTAGAAGAGAGATATTTGTGCCTTTCATCTTTCTTTGCAGCTCCAATTTAACTTCGTCGATTAGAAGCCAAGGAAGAAAAACGTGTGCTGGTATTTTACTAGACTCTTGATCTGTTTCTTGAGTGGGGAGATAGTATATTCTTGCTTTGGGAAGAAAACGTTGATGACTTAAGTTTCGTAAATGATAACGAAAGCGCCAAACTAAATGGACGTTTGAAGAATTCGCGTGTCATTAGAAAGAAAGATGTTTTCGTATATCCATAAAACATCATCAGATGATTAGAAATCTTTTTATTAAATCGAACGTGGAATTAGGAATAGTTGTTCCATTATTCAAAATATTTTTTACAGTAGTTTGATATTTATTACTCTGTATTTTACCCTTACTTAAATATCTTAAAAGTAAAACACTTAATGAAGATTATTATTAAGAGTTTTGTTTTCTTTATTTGAATATTTTTCTCATTTGTACAAAAAACACCTGCTCTTACAACTTCACATACTAAGTCACTGAGGGTAAAAGTTAGTTTTTTCCTCTGGTTCTGAAAGTAGTCCCTTAACAAAATTTAACTGTATTTACAACACAACTTAAAGACAGTGTTAATACACACACACACAAAGGCATCCCAAACTGAAACTTTCGGCTGTTAAAATAAAAAATAAACAAATGGAAGTTAAGTTTCGTAAACCAAAAAATTTTCTTTTACCGCATTACAAATTGTACTTAGTGTCTACAAAGAGTTAAGAGTTAAGCCTTGGTAAAAATTACTCACTCAAACGCATAAAAGTAACGCTTTCCTTAATTTGCTTTGAAAAAATATCCAAAGATTAATTCCACTTTATTTGTTATCTCCACACTAATCCTGTTTTATTTGTTATCTTGATGCGTCGAGGCGTAAAACGAGAGACCATCGCAGCGAAAGATTAGCGAAACTATCATTGGAAGAGAGGATTAGTGTAATCAAAAATAAGTCCCAATAATATATTGTGTTTTATATCTCAATTGATTTCGTACCTTGTATTTGCTTCTATCATTAAAATTGTATACATTGAAACAACGGTGAATATATCTTAGAAATACTCGTAGAAAGTAATAAAGAAAATCTTTAAAATTAGCGAATTTTAAAACTTATTCAAAAGCCCCCCAAAAAGTAAAATCAAGCGCAGTTGCTGCAAAAAACATATTTAATGAAGTTATAGAGAATATAAAAGAAATAATCTCCTAGGAAATTCGAAGCGAAATTTAGAATGAAACTGTGCACTATTGTAGTAAAAATAATTGGCAATTTAGAAAACTAACATGTGAAAGCACTAGTGGGCTAACATGTGAAAGCATTAGAAAGCACTAGTGGGCTCATAATTAATTAAAATTTATAAATAAATACATTGCAAGGTCAATTAAAATGTAAATAGAAGAATAAAATAAGAGGATTGTTACTGATTCCATAGAAAGATCCTGACTTATCAATGAGAATTGGAATCTCTCCATACAAGCCTCAATAATTCATGAAGAGCAGGTTTCTTCAGATTTTATTAATTATTATCCGAAAAATGCTGGCGTTAAATATCTTTTCGAATCTTTAAACTAACAGGTAATGATAATGAAGACACAATAACACGCCGAATAAAATACTAATTCAGAAGTCAAACAACAAAAATCAGCATTATATTTACAAAATTTTCACAGGACTAGTTTCGATGGTTTTACCGAACCACCATCCTCAGCTGCAAAACCGCAAATGAAAAAGATAGGAAATAATGATTAGATAAGATAAGAAAGCCTGGACAAGAATAAGCAAGTGGCGCCATCTGTTGGTGAAACCAGAACTAAACATAATTTCTTTAAAGGCCGAAGGCAAATTTGGATTGGAATTAGGATCGTTAACTAGAACAGAAAGATTTTTATGAATGTAAAATGCCTCTAGAAAACCCACTTCTCCAATGGAAAACATTCCTAATTCCAATCCAAATTTGCCTTCGGACTTTAAATAAATTATGTTTTAGTTCTGGTTTCACCAACAGATGGCGCCATTTGCTTATTCTTGTCCAGGCTTTCTTATCTTATCTAATCATTACTTCCTATCTTGTTCATTTGCGGTTTTGCAGCTGAGGATGGTGGTTCGGTAAAACCATCGAAACTAGTCCTGTGAAAATTTTATAAATATAACGCTGATTTTTGTTGTTTGACTTCTGAATTAGGTAATGATAAGCTTATCTTAAATCCCAAGAAGGATAAGGAAGCATGTCTGGCCGATTTCAAGGTTTTGTATATTTTGTAATTAAACTGTATTAAATATTTTCTGTAAATATAACTGGTTAGCTTCTCTTTCGTTATTAAAATTTTTCTTTTAGACTGACTTCAGCCAGAAGTAATTATAAAAATAAATTTTACTCTTTTTTCTTAATTATGCCGCCCAGCCGGTTAACGTTGCTGACTGCTGTGCCGAAGGGCCCGGGTTCGAATCCCGGAGAAGGCATGGATGTTTGTAAATGTACAGTGCCGGTGCGGCGTGGCGCCACTCTAAATATGCGGCGAGCCGAAAGCCCTCTCGTGTGGTTTGGTGGAAGGGGGAGATGAGTGGGAGACCGTCGGATCCGTCCTTTCCCGGAGTTACTCTCCATCAAATTGGGGGCGGAACTGAGCAAAATTGCACTGTCACCTGAAGGGTGCTCAAGGCCGTTGCCAATGGCAGGTTTAACCTAGCGCTCCTTGCCACGAGGATTTTTGTGGGCTTGGGCTGACTACTTCAGACAAGTGAGCAAAAGCAACAATAACAACATTTCTTAATTATGCAGTTCATATTATACTGTTTTGAAATATAAACATTTTTCTCTGCATATCTTAATTTTTGCAGCTCGTGCAACTTAGTTTTTACTATTATTTTTCCTCTTTTTGCTGTACTGTCACACAGGAAGAAAATTTGTGCCAGTGGCAGCCCCTTCTATTCTAGCCAAAGTGTAGCAGTTTAAAAAATAGTACAATTGTAACCGTTTTAAAATAATCTTCCCTACATTACTCGTAGCAACATTTGGCTTTTCATACTTATTTCACAATTGGCGCCATTTCGAAATTTCTTTTATTGTGAGTAAAATATAAGTAGAGTTTAATATTAATTTTGGCCTTAATTTGTAAAATATTTTTAAGTGCATTTATAACCAATTAGTTTATTTCTTTCTTTTCATTTACTTTTTATTTTAATTTCTCTAATTTTCTTTCTATTTTTCTTATCTTTAGTTTCAAGTATTATTCAGCATGATCGCTTTATATATTTTTGAACTTTACTTTAAGTATGATTCTGTATGCCTTGTGGTGTAGTGTTAATGCTTCGAAGGTGTGGTGTTGAACTCCAATGAAAACGCTAATGATGGAACACCACATGAAATTTTTATTGAACGCCCCCCCCCCAAAAAAAATGGCTACATACCATCAACAAGAGAAAAACCTAAATCTTTTTCTTAAAATCAAATTCTATACATTTTACGTGCGAGAGCAATTCGCGGCTCTCGAGGCTCCGTTTTTAACATTACCAACAATTTAATTATTTTAATAACAATTATTTTAACAACTATTGAAAACGTATTCAGAAGTTAAATCATAATAATTTTCTCTTATGCTCACGAGACATCCTTGTACATATTAATCTTCAGTTTCTTCTTCCTTTATGCGACCTTATTACAGCCTGCATTGTTTATTTCTG